GATGCAGGGAATGAAGCTGGAGAAGGACAACGCGATGGACCGCGCGTTGCTCTGCGAACAGCAGGCTCGCGACGCGAACGCGCGGGCCGAAAAGGTAAATCTTCAACGTTTTCGCGTTATTCCGACGCGTAATAACGCGGTAGCACGCGAAATAACTCTCGGCAGGCCGAGAATTTGCAGATAAGGGGCAAAGAGTAACTCGATACGCGTATACGAAGGTATTACGAATGTCCGTTTACCTCGTCGTCTATAAGATAAAATATAAAAATAGCGGTGAAATAATCGCGTCGTAATAAAAATACGATATAGGATTGGCGCACGTTCAGAAATTTCAATTTTAGATCTGGAGTTTCGGTGTCTGTACGGTTCGCCGTTCTGCCGCGTCGCGAATGAAGTATCGTAGTTACGTTAACCTTGGTTGCCCGATTAATAACGCCATTTTTGTTTAACAAAGGCCGAGGAAGAGGCGCGTGCCCTGCAGAAAAAGATCCAGACCATTGAAAATGAACTTGACCAAACTCAGGAGGCTCTCATGCAGGTCAATGCTAAGCTCGAGGAGAAGGACAAGGCGCTGCAAAACGTAAGTGAATCGTACTGTTCGTTGTCAAATTTAAATGGCAGAATATTCGCGAAATCTCCTCAACGGATAATTTGCAGTGTAATGACTCTATATGTAGAAATTACTCGATCTAGGAAGAAATTAGACAGTTCGTTATGCGAGTATTCCAGTTGGCAAAAACCGATAAAAATGGTTAAAGGAGAGAAAAAAAAGAAACATTTAAAAAGTATACTCAACCGGTTTCGAACGCGAAAAGCCGCAAGTCTTATCAATCACCGCGTTGTTACCGACAGAATAGTGACGTTTTAACGCCACGAGATGTCGCAGTGATCGCGCGCAGGCGCTCCATGAAGAAAGAGCAGGTTCCTCGCGAAGTAAGCGCACAGTCGAGCGTTAGTACGCGAAGCTGCCGTTTCGTTGGTTCGGTGGTGCTCGGCAAACTTCGGTTCCGTGTCGTAGGCGAACGGTAGAAGGGGGTAACCTGGATCGAATATAGCGGAATAGACAGAGAAAGAGAGAGAGAAAGCAAGATAGAAATCGGACCAGGACGGTGCAGAGAGCGGAGACCAGCGTGTCTCCTCTCGTACATGCGTTCGCCCGTATGGGACGGTGTGTGCGTGCAACACAGAGAGACAGACAGAAGGACGTATGCGTGGCGCGGTGAGAAACGTGTTACGAACAGTGACAGACAAGATGGCGGTGCGCCTTGTGCAGTGGTAGTAACAGTGGTGCATAGAGCACGTTAAAAAAAAATAGTGGCACGAAGGGGGTTAGTAAAGGGCTGGCAGCTGGTTAGCATGGAGCCAGCTCTAACATCGACCACGAGACGACGCGGTCATCAACACCATCCGCGACACGTTACGCGCCGACGTCTTGACGCCTCCAGCAGAGGACCCGCGCAGTGTGGCCCTGCTGATATCGTTAAAGATAGCACGATTGGAAACAACGATGCATCAACGACTGCAACGTCACCGAGGCTCGACGAAAAGAGCAGTGTCATCGATACGGAGTGCTCGACCGCGATGACAGTGCCCATGATTGGCGGCGCGAGGTGGCACCGTGATCCGACGGTCGCCATAACCACGAAAGACGCAGCATTGCACGAGGACACGAGCAAGATAAAAAATAATTTCGAAGAAGACAACAGAGAAGGGAATATCCGACATAGGCTCGCGCAGTGTAGCCTGGATATTCTCGACGAACGACACGAACACGTTCACGAGAGAAACAAAAACGACAGCTATGACAGCTACGAAACGGAACGAGTGTCGGGCAAGTCTCAAACGAGACCACGTGGGGACGAGATATGCAAAGACCAGTCCGTGGACGAAACCAAGAGTAAAGACGATTCGCCGGAGCCCGAGCACGCGGTCGCGAGGGCTCGCGGCGATGGCAATTCCGATGACGAATCGATCAATGTCGAGGAAGATCCCGAGCACGTTGAACTTGCCAAGCTGAGATGTCCCAGCGAAAGAGCCGAAGTGCAGGCCGAAAGAGAGGCGAGAAGAAGAAAGAGATGCGCGGATTATCCCGGATTAGCCTTCGGATGGGCCATATTCTCCAGCGACACGATGATGAAATTCGATCTCATAAGGAACGAATTGAAGAATATTTTGGAGAACCAGCTGAAAAGGGTCAGTATCGCATGATACATCGCTGATGCGCACAGTACGTAGATGCGCGTATTGTGCGATGCAAGGTCATCGCATGACGTGACCTTGACGCACTTTGACGTCGGTCAGCGGGATCTCGAGGGTCATTCGACACTTGATAACGGAAAGAGATTGTCACCAATCAAAATCTCGCTTTCTCTCTCGAACCGTATGCCGTCCGTACAATCCTCCGCCCCTTTTGCGCTTCGTTTTCTCAACTTACCCAACGTTTCATCGAACGAGGTAATCTTCGTGAATTCGATACCTTATATGGTGGAGAGCGAGTTAAAAATACGCGCGCAGTTAGGTTAGGTGATCTAGTGGTTACCCACGGTGACGTTACAGACCATTAAATCGTACGTTGCTCGAAGAGGTTACGAAGCAATGGACGGCTCTTGTTACTCTTTCTACGTTTTAATTACATACACGTTTCTACCGTTCATCCTGGAAAATTACCCGACCGCCGCGAATATTAATTAGAGAAAGGCCGATTAAAAAACAGCAGCATTTTTGCCGTTGCCAACTGGAAATCGAAATCGGCTCGCATTATCGCCGCTTAAACAAATAATGTACTAGTTGTCGGGATCGTGTAATAATAATTAAGCGACTGCTAATGGCGTGCCTAGCGACAAAGGTCTTCTTAACGATGCACGATCACCCGACAAAGAACACTTATTGTATAGGGTTACTGAACGGGGACAATGGGTTTAGCGCGATTCTTTTACCCAACTCGATAAATGGCATTCTTTTTTAATCGGCGGCAAGCGACCGTGCGGTCAGGTTAGGGCGAATCCTTAAATTATTTGCGATCACGTCGAGGCACATCGCGACGTGACGTTCTCACCGATTCGTTTTTCAGCTAAGCCCCACCTTTCGATTAAACGTGACGTGTCAGTGCGGTAAATGCAATACCGTAAAGCTTGAAAGTACTGCCCGTTCACTGTGTACCACGCTTGAAAAGAGAAAAAACTTTGACCAACGCTGAAACGAAATGTGAAAAATTTTTACAACTTCCACTTTTTAATCATCTATCTAGGCTACTGATACTTTTACGATACTGATAAAGAATTTACTAAATAAATCAAATTTTGCTTACATAACCACAAAATGTTTTGGAAATCGTTTTTCGAATACGAATCCTACCTAATGCTAGTGACACGTAGAACATAAATCGCTGCCATTCGTCACATTCTAAAAATACATGGATGTTATAGACGAATCCAGCAGTACTTTTATTCGGCACTCCGAGAGAATATTGCGTAAGCATCGCTGCCGGAACGCACTCCCACAAATCCGCCTCGTTATAAGCGTTTATAAGCCGGTGATGATACACAGTGTATCATCGTTGCAAAATATTCGTAGCGTATTGCACGAGAATTTGGAACGCGTTCCGCGCTCCATTGTCGACCTTTGAAACGAGATCTGTTTCTTTGCCGCTTATCTTAGTCTATGTTTACACGTCATCTTCTGCGTTTTAGCGAAGATCATCGTGCTGCCATCTGTGTTTCCATTGTTCGCATAATTCTGACGGACTAGTTCGTGCATTCCCGGACCTACTTCCGAATTCGGTTGATTGTTCTTAATTCGATGCTACCACGGGAATGTTTAAAGACATAGTAGCGTAACTGAATAATAGATGGAGCTACCAGTAGCTTTTCGTAAATGCATTCTCATCATTTCAAATTTTTACGTATACTACGATATTTTTTTTTTTTTAGTATCATCGTTCAAATTTTTCATGCAGGATATTCTATTAATACAGACCGGAATATATTTGAGGTTATGTGAACTTTAAACGTACGTTTTTAATGTAGTATACAATTAATGATTTGTTACGCAAGTTGGCAATTAATATTAATAAGGATACGCAGTCAAACCTTGTACAACGAATTAAAAATTGAATTAAGGACAGACAACGCGAGGAATAACTTGAAATATAACCTCTCGTAAAATAATTCGATTAATTCCAAAATTGAATTTTTCCATAAAGAAATTTCCCTATTCTTTATAAGAAATGTTAAATTAACGAATAATCTTCTGTTATAACTCGTATCTATTTACGTTGTTCGTTGATATTATGAGAAATATATTACCGTTTCCGGTTATGTTTAAATCAATCTCTTTTAAATCGTATCATTTCGAAACCTTTTTAAATAATAAATAATAAATAATAAATTATCACTTGTAGTCGTATGAAAGTTCTACCATTGATGTCTATTATTATTTAAATTTGCGCGTCATTCATCCGTCGTAACCTACTCTTGGTCGTAAAGCTCAAACCATGAGTTATCGAAAACGATCAGTCTGCGGGAGAAACGTTACGTTCGTACTGAAATTATCATCGGTGCGTAGAATAAACGTGCACTGCCCCTCGAAGCGGATGGAAAAGCAGAAGAAGCGAAACAACGCAAGAATTGTTGTCGACCGACCATTCGAACGGTTGGGCGCGCTTGGGACGGGCGCGGTATTTCCGGGGCTTTGCGCGCGACGACACGTCGATCAGCGCAGCGATACTCGGCGTGCGCATCATGCTTCGTGACGCGGTCACGACAGGAAAAAAGAACGTTTCGCCGATGGACCGAGTCTCTATATCCCTAGACACGCTCGAGTATGGAGAATTTCAGCGATAATATCGTTCTAGAGTTGCTTAAATTGAAATTTTATGCGAAATATTTCCGTACGAGCGTCCTTAAGGGCAAGGGACTATTTGACGTCCGCACAATGGCAGTGCGCATGCGCGCCCTGACCGGGGGCGGCCATCTTGCTTTCCAGTCAACAGCAGCCAGTGGTCGTCAGTGTACGACAGCTCGGAGACTACGAAACTCTCTCTCTCGCACGGGTACCGGTCGTCTTTTGTACCCGACATACTTGGTCTTCGTACGTCGTGTTCACCGGCTGTCTTTTATTCTCAACTTTTCATTTATCGTCCGAGTATCATCTCGATTCGCATACGAAACTCGTAATCGCGTCGTTTATAAGTGAGAAAACGTTAACACGCGCGAATATTCAGCAGCATGTCGACGCAAGTGCAGGGCACCCTTCTCGACGTGCTAAAGAAGAAAATGAAGCAGACCAAGGAGGAAATGGAGAAGTATAAGGACGAGTGCGAGGAGTATCAGAAGCGGCTGCAGGTGGAAGTGATCCGCCGCGAGGAAGTGAGTGAGAAAATTACCTCATGACCACGTCTCTTCGTTTCCTTCGTGTACGAATCGGCTTGACGCGATATGGGATTTTCTGTTGGGGATATTTTTGCGAATCTCTTCTATTCCGAGTTCCCTTGGCATAACCTGTGCGATATCCCATAAGTTCGTCGATCGTTTCGCGACGCTCGAACAGGGACGTCAATTAAGCACACGGAAGGGAAGAATTCAGTGAGGTTTGTCGAGTTTGGACGCCTAGAAAATATTCAATTGTGCGACATGCGTCGATTTTAGACGCATTTTATCGGGTCTCGTGATCGGCTCGTTGTGCGGTTAAATTCATCGAGAACACGTACTATACGGTTCGCGGCGTGTCTTTACCGGAAATATGGTGCTCAACTTCACCGTGTTCGTTTGGAAAAGTATCGATCGGTTCGCGAGAGAGGAACTGTTATTGAGAAAGCCGGAAGAAATCAATCGAACGACATCGCGACCGACATATTAATTCGGTTAGGTAGGACAACGATAGTTCTCAAAGCCAGTGGACTCTCGATGAAAATTCTTTTCACCTTTATACACGAAACGCCGGAGCCGGCGTCCACACGGTTATAGGATCGATCGTGAGTGTCAGGCACGTCGTCGTCAGGCTGGGTTGTGGCTCCGGAGAGGGCAGGCAGGGGGGTATAGAAGGGACACCGACTCGACTCGCACTCGAGACATTCTTGATACAACGAGGATCAGCTCGAAAACTCACCTCTCTCGCTACCATCGAATCTTTGCAATACGATCTTTCTTGATAATCATGCGCAATGCGCTAAACCGATAGGACCAGCTGCCTCGCTCGTATTCCCGACCTCATGCCTCTCTGGCTACTTGCATGGAAGAAAGATTAGCGCTCGATTTCTGTGTACAATTGTAGTAGCTCGCGCACGCGAAGCTGTTCGTAGCGTTACCGGCGCGACATGATCCGATACCCCTTTTCGAGCATAATTACGCTTGCGCTCGTTTATGTGTCATTCATGAAAAAAGGTAGATTTCTCGACTTAGATTTCCTGTTATTTTCTGTGAATTAAGGGAATAAACGAAATTGCATAGAAATTTGCATTTTTGTCTGGTTAAAAATGGTGGATCAAGAGCTAAAATGAATACGAAAATAAATGGAACAGTACGTAAGATGAAGATTGACGAGAAACAAGGGAGTGCTTAGATACATCCATTAGTCTCGATTTAAAGGATTAACACAGTCTTGTCGTTTCATCCAGTTTTATTCAGCTACTCGCCGTTCAACTTGGTGAAGGTAGTCGCTGGAAACGTTCTACTATTCGAATTCAAGTATCACGAGTAACATGAACGAATTATTTAATTACTAAAATTCTTCAGGATTATCCCCGTATGTTTTAAATATTTAAATATTCAAATCAATTTCTATCCAATTTATCTTCTTCTCTTTTTCTTTCCCTTAATCGCTATGATACTTTTAATAGCCAATTGTTTAATGGGAACAGCGGTGCACGAGTTATCGAATGTATAACGCGTTGAAACAAAGTTGCGCACCGACAGAGGGAAATTCGAGTACGATAAAGTTACGTAGACTAGCGCTTACGCGTCGGGAACCATTATTTTCTCTTTGTTAGCACGAAAACATGGTTGACCATTTTTACACGCCTACACTTCCGTTCTGTATTATTTACCCTAGTGACATTTAAGGTCGCCTTTGCCGGTGGTCGCAGATTTTATTTTCCTGCCGAGACCTTTTCACCTCCTCGTCGAAGAAGCCTATCATAGACTTAATATCCTGTATTTCTACCCAGACTGGTATCCATGAAATTATCGATCGAGGAGTAAATAAGTCATAGCGCCGTGTCTACCGTTTCGTAGAATCACCTTTCTACGGTCGATGCAAAATATACAGGGTGTTCCAAAGTACGGATATTGAATTTTCTTCTAATTCTCTTCGAAAAAGGAATTTATATCGAATCCCAATCGCGATCATTATGTCACCTCTATCGAACCGGATTTATCGTCTCCGAAACAGTTGGAAGGGACCATTTACGGCAACAGAGGCCATTTTCCTGCCGATTACACCGCGAAGATTAACCTTGGATTGTCTCGGAAAAATGTCATTGCATTTCCAGTGACGTTGCGCGCTTTCTGCCGCTGACGTGTCGCTGTCCTAAAAGGCCAACGGATAGAAGCTCGGTGAAGCTTCACTAACAAGCTTTTGTCATTGAGCAATGAAGTGCACTGCCGTGTATGCAGTCTCCCGTCCATTTTCTTTTCTTCTTTCCCCCGTCTAATAGAACTAGATAACCGGCAACGTGTGCGACCTGTGCACACCGGGAAGATTTATCCGACATACACCGCGGGTCCGGTTCATTGATTTACGCGACATGGACGGATTTAGCGCGTACCGTGAAAGTGATATTACGTACGAGCCCGTACGACAGCACGTGGCGTCTCTTTTATCGAGAAGTTTACGTAATCGTGGCTCGATTGTCTTCGTCCAGGGTGCAGATTTATTAATAAACAAATAAACATCACCGTCGAGCCTCGCTCCCGGCGTGTTACGTTCGCTTTTATTGGTTTAGCGAGCCCGGTAATTGATCGATCGATACATTTCGATTCGCCTGGCGCGCAATGGTCTCGGGACGGTTAGTACACGGCGCGTGGTCTCGGGTTTTCAAGCGTTCCAACGTCGAGAAACACTAGGAGCTTCGTTTTCGGGGGGAAAAAAAACGACCTTGTAGAGAAACCGAGTACCGTTGCCTCGACTGAGGTTCCCTCGAAGCGTTGTTCCCTTTGTGTACACACGGTGGCCAAATAATTCCGCGCTCGAAACAAGCGGGATACAATCGATTCGCCGAGTTTTGTAAAATCGTTCCGGGGTTTTTATCGCTTTCCACGAAGCCCGCTAGGAGCGTTGCTTGCGCGAACACAGTGGTAGAATCGCGTGGAATTAACAGAACGTAATGGAGGCAGCGGAGGGTGATCGTTGCCGGAAGTTTGGCACACTTACCAACATTACCGCGGACGCGGTCGACGGGACCTGTTCGGCTGCGCCAATGTGCGTGGGCGTGTCGATTTCCTCCGAACGCAGAATGCGCGCGGCTTTGATAGGCCAATCGATGCGATGGAAACACGCGGCACCGGAAGTGGCGCGCGCGCTCGCTTAAATATTAGACGCCGCGAATTATACGGCCGACAATTCGCCCGTTACATAGTCTGGATACGAATTATGACATTGTATGCAGCGCGACATAGGCGTAGCCTCCGGTTTTTCGCGTGATTCACCGCGGGGAGCAATGAAGTCATTCTGCTTCTCAGTAGCGGAGTTTGATAACTCGCTGCTCGTCACTGATACGTTGCTAAAACGTAATGGCGACGTTGCTGATTAAATCACCTAACGATATTACTAAATATTTTGTAAAAACATTCGAGATATACTATAATAAGAAAAATAATCTTCCAATTTCTAAACTTCTTTTAAAATTCGAGTTCTTCTTCGAGGAGTTAATAGAGAAATAATGTCACAACGTCGATTTAAGATCTATCAAATAAACCGAGCGTAATATGAAATCGTTTCTTTCGAATCTCAAGATTTTCCAGAGTTATTATCTGATCTCACCAAATTTCGGTATTCGAGTACCTGCTTCGCGCTCGTTGCAGAAGAGAAAGCACGATTATTAATCCATTTCGGGGAAGATAAGATAACGGGCAGAATTGGTTATCGATGTGAAAGATATGGCCGATTTTCACGCGTAATCGACGGAGGAGTAGCACAGGCGTGTCACGTCGGTCCGGATGCAAAGTGTTGGTGGGTGATCGAAGAGCGGCACGTGCATGAAAGCGCGCGTAATGCCTGGTTCACGCACGATGAATTAGGATCTATCCGCTCGGCGCACAATTGTCGCAGGTGCAGCCGCAAACAAGCACAAGGGCCTCGAATCGCGTAGACGAATACACGCGTAATCGAGCGTTAAGCAATTTACGTTTGTAAATTACGTTTGTATGAATCGTTTCACGTAATAAAACGAAACCGTGTTTTCGGTGACTCTCCATGACTTCTCGTTGATCGAGAAATGTATCGTTCTTCCATTGCGCGAGTGATATCTGTTCCAAAACGAGAAGCCGATTTTTATCCGCCGCGATTAAATCACAGGGTACATGGAAAAATATTGAACGACGTTTAGGCTCGATAAGAGCGCGATATCACGAGTACAAGTAAATACGAGTCGATCGACTTTTAAATATAACGCATCAACGAGTTGTAAGCAGATAATAGCCGCAAGTTCCGTTTATTGTAATCTTTCAGGCTAGCGCAAAGTCCTTTGGTAGTTACGATGGAACGAGACAGAATTTTCACTGGACTGAGAATTACCGGAGTCAATTTCTAGCAAATATATTATCCCTTTGCACTCGAGAGGTGACTCTCAGTCGCCATTTAATCAGATTCTAAAGATCGACGGTAATTAATATATAAAATTTAAAATTACCTAACGATGCGTGCAATGTCGAAGAAAAATAACTCTATGTCTTAATTTGCATATGATTTCTCATTTACCATTTGAAAAATATCGTCGACTCTGTGACAGAAAGTCTTCGAATTATTATTTTTCTGTAACGAAAAAGTCGTCGAGTGCAAAGGGTTAAGCGGTCAGAGAAATAATTTTCGAATCTCAAGATTTGCAGTGCAAAATACACCGATTACTTAGAAACCGTGACAAAGAGAAGTCTAAGGCTAACGTGTTCGAGGAAAGCAGCTAGGAACAGCGGATCCTTCAGCTGATCACGTCATAGAGTAGAATAGAAACCTGTATGAATTTAATTAACCGAGATTATTCGGTATCAGATTGCATGCATGGATCCGATATTTGATCCACACAGCGTTAAGTCTTGCTTAAAATCGAATAAGATAAACGTGGTTACATCTGCCCTAACTATTCCACTTTCGAGGCGAAGCAACGATGATCTCGTGGCAGACGAAAAATCCTCCATCCGACCGAGTTAAATCGGCTGTCGCGACGAGCACGAGCTCCGGAGGAAGTTATAGGGTCATTGATATGCGGACGAAGCGAAGACCTTGGCGATCCCACGATCAGCGTACCTGCGAATCCTGATCACGTGTGGCACCGTCGCGAGTGCCGGCTTTTTATTTTTGTTTTCCTCTTCCACCGACGTTTCCTCCGATTCAAAGATCCTCTCTACCCTCTTCGGAATATACAGGTGAAATCGGAAAAGTCTCATCGAGTGGAAGATAAAAATCATGCAACCGTGGCCTATCGGCAACGATACCCTATCTCTAGATACTTATCTCAACTCGGCTCGTTTACGTGCTAATGAATTTATTGCAAGTTTGCGACTCCTCGAGAAATCATGGATAACTATCGTTGTTACAGCGTTGCTATTATGTAACAGAACGAGTGTAATATCGTATCTATTTATTACATCTGTAATATAATTATTACATGCATTATCTAAGCGTTATATCTGTCACTGCAAATTGTCCGTTTTGGAGTCGACGAAATTAACATTGTCTTACAGGAAGACAATAATAGTACTTAACCCCTTGCACTGCGATTTAATTATAGGTATGCACGGTTAGTTAACCATTGTCAAAATTGGGTAACAATTTTAGAAATTTCGAATTTTCTGAAATTCGTGGATGTTAAATACAATTAGAATCTAGCTTGTAATGGTGAGATTTCACACGAAGAACTCTCATGACGAGTTAGACTCATCATCGCAGTGTAAGGGGTTCGTACAGACATGTCGAAGGGTACGAGAAAAATTCAAAGACTGTTCACTAAATAATTCCAAATACGCAATTTCTTTTCCAATAATCTCAGAAATATCCTTCGTATACGTCCCAGAAATATCCTTCACCCTTCGTTGACCAAGTCACCCTAGGTACATCGATAAATGGTACCCAATATACGTAAATTCGTAATACACGTAATTTGCACGAAATTTTGATTTTATCAACGTATCCCGCATCACGTGGATTCTAAAAATATTTGTCTGTTTTCATTTTACAGGCTGAGTCCGAAGTAGCCGCTCTGAATCGCCGTATCCAGTTGTTGGAGGAGGACCTCGAGAGATCGGAGGAACGCCTGGCAACTGCCACTGCTAAATTGGCAGAGGCGTCGCAGGCCGCGGATGAGAGCGAACGGTAAACGAATGCCACATTTCTATCGTTTCTCGCGATCACACGAGCACCGGACGACCACGTAGATCTTATAAATATCCGTGGAGCAACGGGTATTTATAATGGAGCCCGTTCAGCGGCCGTTTTACTCAATGGGTAGATAACAACCCTCCCCGTTCGGCTGATCGATTCAGTGAAAGTGCGATTCATGCGCTTTCTTCGCCGAGGTTGCCATCGATTGAAGTTCTCGGAGATCGTAGTTTATATTAGAAAGTATACCGTCAAAGCAGCTGGAAGCACTGGCCAGATGCTGCGGGTGTGTTGTCTACCCTGGAGGATGACGGGAGTTTCAGTCAGAGAGAATAATTCGACGTCTGTAGAGGAGAAGCTATCGCAAAGCAAATTGATTGCACCTGTTGGATGCAAGGTCACTGACACGTCGACTGCCACGTTGCATTTGCATATTGCACCGAAGGCCACGAGAGAATTTTCATTGTTCCAAATTTCAAACGAAATCCTCGAATTAGCTGCAACGTTCGGAATTATTCGCTCGATTTTTATGCGGCGGATTTTGTACGTCTAATGATCACCATGATCTCATGGAAGAAACTGTGTCGGGTCATAAGTCACAAACGTGGCAGTCAACGTGTAACACTGGAACTACCGAGTCAGATGAAACGATCGACTTATCGAGATGAGAACATTGATTCTCATTTTCGTTACGGTTTAATTATTATCCTGGTAGTTATCAGAGATCGGTGATTCCAGTGTTGAATCAGGGATGATATTTAAAGGGAACATTACGTGAAGTAATTTCACGGAATAAAATAGCGTTCGCAGGCTGCTCAGAATAATTAGAGGGGCACGTATCCGATCTCGCGAGAGTAATAAAAAGAGTATTAAAATCGCATAGTCGATGAAGTACATCGCGCAATGCCTAATCCGTTTTGAGCAGACCTTTGCACTTTGCAATAACTTCCAGCGTCGATATCAACTGGGTGAAAAGTGACGCAGGGGTCGTTCGATGCTTCGAAAAAAGTATCGGGACTAACGCCGATCGTGCAGAGAAATCGGGTCGAAGGAGCGAGTACACGGCCTGAATTTATATTGTCCTCTCGGATCTATTTATAAGCGATTGTACAATACTGCATTGTGATGTTCCGCGGTTAATACCTCGACGAATATAGATCCGAAACGGGTTATATTTATGCGATAATCGTACCTGTGCACTCGCGAAATTACACGGCGCGAGCTCGAGGTTACCGGTGAAGTAGCAATTACTGCGATTTTATGAAGCGTGCATTTTCATGATACGGCACGGGTAAAGTGGCTGTTTAATTATCGATAGACTCGATATTTCCGAAAATGATGCAATTCCGCGTTAAACTCCATTATCGTCCGATCGATTGATTAGGCGAGACGTAAGAGGAAGACGAAAGTAGGGGTCGAATTCGTTTCAAGTACGCGTAAAATCGTTAAAAAAGATCCAATTAGATCCGATCGAGGTGTACACTCGCTCTTTCGTCCGAATTTCTGTGCACGTCATGGCATTGTTTATCGATAGGACTAACCTTTCGACGTTGAAAGAACTTCGAGATATTACTTTCCCAGAATTCTCCGCTCGATCGTTTGCGCCGATAAGAATTACCAGGGATCGAGTCCGTGACTTTGTCGAATTGAAACGCGTTCCGTGGATCGTTTAATCGCGAACAAAGTGACGGATAGACGATACGGTCGCCATTGATAGCGCACCGGATGACGCGTTCGCGGTTTCTCGTCGAGGAAAAAGAGATTGATAGCCAGCGGGGAATTCGCGATCCTTGAGCGGAAATCTTGCGAGAATTCTCGAGAATAATATTTTATCGTCGCCCTGTGCGTTTTAAAATAAATTTCTCCTTCTGCTCTTTCGTTTAGAAAATATTCCGAGATTAAATCGGCAGAAAATTCCACCATCTCTTCTTTATCGCGAACCCTGGTTATTTTCGCGAATGTTTAACGAGTTATCGAGATATTGCACTATTTTCAAATTTTTACTCGGATCTCGTAAGAACGACTACGAAATTACGATAGAAAATTGAAACATTTGATGGGAAAGAGACACACTCGTAACCATTTAATTACTTGATCAATACAATTAGATAGAAATTAATAGAATTAAAATCATTTCAGTTTCTTTTCGTAAGGGTACATTAACCTTTCAGTCGCCATTTCATAAAATTTCGAAGCTCGATATTAATTAATATATCAAATTTGAAATAAGGTAACAGTGTGCGAGGTATTGTAATTAAATAATTGTACGTGTTAATTATTATTCGATTTATTATTTACTGCTCGAAAAATATCATCAGCCTTGTGGCAGAAAATTGTTCAACTCGTACCCTTTTTTAGCCAAAAAACCCTCGAGTGCAAAGGGTTAAAGTATCCTACGAGTATTTCGAAAATAGAGATGACGATTCAAAGATGAGATATATATATATATATTTTAAAATATTCTTGCATTGCTTTACCATCAGTGGCTTCAATTTTGTTTCGCGTATTTGGGTTAGTACGTTTAATTTAACAAGAAATCGGAAGTTAGTTTGCTCGTATCCGCGAAAGACTCTGTTCTCGTATGTCGATGATCTTTCTTTCAACGGCGACCAAACCGGTGCTAAAAATCGAATGATAATCGATCGCTAGGATACGCAAGGCACTCGAAAACCGTACCAATATGGAAGATGACCGGGTGTCCCTGTTGGAGCAACAGCTAGCACAGGCTAAACTGATCGCCGAGGAGGCGGATAAAAAATACGAGGAGGTGGGTCACGTACCAGCGAACAAAAAGACAAATTTTTTCCGCGCCGATCCTGCGGGAGCCGGCCCTGAGTTCATCTCGACGAACCACGATCCCCTTTTTCAATCGATTCTAAGCCCTGTCTAATCTAAAATCTGATCTATCCTTGATTAAAAGAGTATCGAAGTAAATAATTCCAAAAAATTTGAATAAATTCGATTACCTATCGAGTCTGTGCGAGATTTCTGACAAAAGGGAGACGAAAATATATAAAAATATTCGGTCACGAAAATTACGAAGCAAAATTGAATGGTTGCCCTAGCAGATCGGTGAAGAACTGGTCGAGGAGATCAAGGTTCGTCAAGATCAGGTACCAGCTCGCTCCCGCGGGTACGTCTTTTCAGGCTGTTGAACAGGTAGCCGGGGAGCAGTGCCGTAACCGACTAGCAGGGACCCTCGCTCACGACGGGGCAACGATAATCTAAGACTTTACCTTCCAGCAATCTTACCTTTCGCGATGTTAATCCCGATTCTTTGTGCTAATTATTAAAGAGCCCGCAAGATTCTCGAGAATCGCAGCTTGGCCGATGAAGAGCGCATGGACGCCCTCGAAAATCAGCTGAAGGAGGCCAGGTTCCTCGCTGAAGAGGCTGACAAGAAATACGATGAGGTTCGCGAGCCCACGACTGACAAGCGTGATGGCTGCAGTGACAATGATCATGATAAAAATAATGATGATGATGATGATGATGGTTCCTAGTTAATAGTCGAGATAATAGTGCCTAACCCCGTAACTCTCTGTCTTCTCTCTGTGTGCTCGAAATCACCGTGGCCCGGTATAATATAAAACGAATCTACTCACACGTCTCGATCGATCGAAGGTAAAAACGCGCTGCTCGTCCTCGAGAATATCTAAATCGATATTTCGATCGTTCTTTTCGATCCACCGGGGTCGTCGGGAATCGTTGTTCCGATCGCGAACGTCCTTCTCAGCAAGAATTTTTCGGTCGTAATGATATTTAAAAAAAGAAAAAGAAAGATTTACGCAATGTCTCGTCCCCGATAAAGTTTCAAAGGATAAAGAAACAAGAAACAGTGATTTTTCACGCGACGAGGATACGAAAGAATGAAGGGAACGTAAGGTTATTGATCGTTTGTGATTTCGTGGAGTAAGTGAGATTATGACTGATCGATCAACGGGTAAGAAGTGCAGTGTCCGAATAATATAATTCTTTTCGAGTATGATGAAAGAGTACAAAAAAAATGGGAAAAAAAGAGAAAAAAAGAAATATGAAAAATGTTGAATAGTGATACGCTTATACGATTGATATCAGTGTCACGTGTTTTGAGCGCGACTTAATACTAAAACCACTGTATATCTGTGATTTCCAAGTGCTTATTGGAACCGAAAAAGAAAAAGAAAAAAAAAAAAGAAAATAAGCGAGAAAGAAAAGTTTCAAGTGCCAATTTCGTAAAAGAGAAAAAGAAAAAATATATTAATAACGGTTAAAAATGTAGTTCGAAGGATCATCGCGCAAAATCGTCTCTCGATCGTACACGAATCCGATGAAAACGTCGTTGGTCCCGCGTGTTCGCGTTCGCCTAATCGGAAGCTAGATCTGTAACGTATGGTTTAATCGCGGCCTGTGTTGTGATACGAACGGGACCGTGTGCATCTCGGTCTCCCGCGCGATTAAAATGGTGCTGCTTTTGTCCAAAGATCTCCTCTTTTCGTTTTCTCTCCAATTCGGAACGTAGCTCGGAAACATTCGAATTACAAAATCTATCTGTCATGGTAGGTGGTGTCGCGTGGCGACGTTGAAGTTACAAACACTTCGTAACGAGTACCCTCGAATTTTACGTCGGTAACGAAGAACACTGCCTAATCTGTCTACTAATTTATGAAATTATTTACATTTCCAATTAAGGAAAAAACGCGAAAATTCGGAAATAATTTCTTGGTAATCTCTTTCGCAGCTCTGTCAGTTTCGACACCGTGTAATTTACGTTTTAAACGTGACTGTTTGGAATTGAAGGGTACAGGAATTGGATATTTGAACGGTGGACTGGCAGAGCAAGACTGGCAATAATTCTGGAAATTTTCTTGACGGGACAGGGGAAAAAAGGAGGCGAAAAGGCAGTTCGACAAGCACGAGTGAACCACGACGGTATGGAACGTAAGTTTGATACCACTCGGTGGCATTGAACGATGAAAAAAGAAAGTCCCACCGCAATACCGGGCCCACTGGACGCGTCTCTCGACGCGTTCCAACGGAATGGGCCTCGCGAGAGTAATAAAAGCGAATCGGCACCGATCGTCCATGGTTCCCCGTGGCTCGAACTGATTTTTCAATCCCCGGGACTCGATTTGTAACTTCAACGCGGCCCCCCTGTATCCTGCCCCCTCTAACAAGATCGCACTCATCATGTTTTTATTTAGTGTCATTGAATTAATAAGCATCGAAACTAATAAATCTTTGCAATGTTCTTTCTTAATGTTTGCAGTGACACCGTGTCAGAGTCGTGAGATTCAGATAAAATCTCGGTCGCTTGTCTCTCTAACGATCTAACCGCATAACAGTTATTGCAGAAGCTCGGAGCAACTGAGGCGAGCCTTAACCGAATGCGACGATGCTCCATCTCTTTCTGTTCTTTAACACGATGCAGTAATCGCTTATCATTGACCCTTTGTTTCTGGGATTTGCGAGCGTTACGTAAACCTCTCGATGAGTGGCAAATTTCGTCCGGTTACGTCATTCAGATAACGTGCAGTTCAGTTACTGGATCACTGCGAACGTTCCCTCTGATATTTCGCCAAGCTCCATTCTTCCGTTCGCATTTATAAAAGCTAGAATATTTTCGGGTCTCTTTAGCTGTGATTTTTCAAATTTCGTATGAAGGATAATGGCGAAGGATGCACGATCGAGGGGTCGCGTGACGGCTCGCAGAGTTAGTTGCATGCGTAGTAGAAGGAAAGGTCTTCGTGGACAAACGAAAGGGACATTCCATGGCGCAGGCTGCTGTGTCCCGTGGCCGATGGACGAAGCGAATTCTCCTTCGTTTTCCACGGTGACCTCGCTGTTGCCAGTGCGAGTATTTCCATCCATTCGTGCCGATCTCTCGGAGCGAAGCTAAGAACCGTTCCTCTCTCGCTTCGCTTCTTATCTGCTCGCTGCTCCTCTTCGCGAGATGCGCTCCACAGCTGGAAGAGGCCGCGATAATGTTATCTCGAACGTGTGCCAAGCAGACCGAGCCGCGCGGTACGGTACATCTGGAGTTTTGCTTCAAATTCCAACCTCTCCTCGCCTCTTCGTCGCGTCTTCGTGCCCGTTGTCGTCCGGTCGAACGTGCCTAAATTATTCGCCCGCTGCCGACCAGCCAGCCAGCGTAAAAGTCGAATGGCTCGAACGGGGGGAGCACGTTTCACGGTTAGTGTTTCACTGGTTCAATATTTGCGATTCCACCGCGAGCGGATTCGCGCGCAAGAACGCGGAATACAATTAACCCCTTAACCGAGCGAAACGAGCAGGCTGGTTGAAAATCGCGGCGGAATATTTGCGAACGAATAGAGAGATGATCGGTGTTCCGTCTTCTGGCTCCTCCGGACTCGTTTCACTTGGTCAAGGATACGCGGTCCGCGTTATGCCTCGCGGGCCAGCAGCCCGCAAACAGGCGTAGCGTCTGGCTTGGCAGAGGTGAGAAGCTGTATCGGCGTATGGCGAAACCAGAAAGAAATTTTGGACCGGTGTCGTGTTTGCCTTGGTAAATGGCACAAGAACATCTTTCCCTTCGAACCATCTGCGAGTTTCATATTTCGTTGAACGAAACTCGGGCAAGCTCGATCAGGGCATCTAACAAGGAGAGTGTGCGAGTCCTTCGAGTCGTTGATTTAGTTGAAATTTTGCAGGTTTGTAGATTTAGTCGTGCAGTTCGAGAAAATGTACAGTAAGGGCAAGTACTCGATCGTTCTTGAGATATTTATGATCTACGGACGCTATCTGTATACCTATTTCTACATATTTAACCCTTTGCACTCGAGAGGTGACTCTCAGTCACCATTTAATCAGATTCTAAAGATCGACGGTAATTAATATATCAAATTTAAAATTACCTAACGCTGTGTGGAATGTCGAAGAAAAATAATTCTACGTCTTAATTTGCATATGATTTCTCATTTACTATTTTTCTGTAACGAAAAAGTCGTCGAGTGCAAAGGGTTAACACCTGTCAAATTGACAGGTAAAAGAACCACGTGTCTTTTTTTTAACGATTAGTTTAATTTAAAAACAGTTTCAATATTAACAGTCTTAATGTAAGTTAGCTAAATCTGTTAACATCGTATAATTGGCGCAATCCATCCGTCAAATTGACGGGTTTCGTAAATCTAGTATTAAAGCTTCATTAATTTTAACTATAGATTTCTTCCGAATAGTTATCGATAGTTATCAAGTGGCAAATTGCCACCAACGTGGGAATTTTCGAATATCGCCATTAGCATGGCACTTGCTAAATATTCGAAATAATCAATTAAGGCAATAATAAAACTGTGATCATAAATATCTGGAAAACTATCGAGTGGTTGTGCTTATAATGATATATTTTTCAACTAAATCTATGATCCGAGAGACTGCACTCTCTTTGTAAGTACCGTAACCAAGTCACAATTATATAGGTATTTCGAGTATGCTAGTGACTGTTATAACCGAGTCTTTATTCTCTAAGCACTCGCGATTAAACGAAGAAAAATTGCCAGAGATTAGTAAGAATAACTCAATTAGTACCGCTTGTGAACAATTTGCTTCCGAGTTGCATAACGCTGCGCGGAAAATCGTATTGCGGCACGCAGAAAAATTTACTGCTAGTTTTCCTTGATGGAGAGAAATCTTATTTCTGTCGATCTTTTCGTTCTGGGAGTAAAGTGATAATATCTCGAATTTTTCTACTATAGTACTATATCGATGCTGCCTTTTTATTTTTCTACTCGAAATAAACGCTCGTGTAAACACGCTCCTTGCTGGAATTATTAGATCTGGCAAAGGAGCGGTGGAATTATCGATCAGAGGCAATCACCGGTCCGAGTCGGGTTTGGAAATTCGCCACGTGGAAGGTTCGATTGGAAAAGAGGCAGAGAAGCGAGTGGATGGAACTGGCCAGACGCAAAAGGAGCGCGAGCTCCTCTTCCAGTTCGTAGAGCGACATCGAGCCGGTCGGAATCGCGGAGATCTCGGCCGTGGGGCGTGGATGGCGGCAAGATCGAGGCGCGAGATCGTCGATCTTGGCCCAGATGCTGCGGCGAGACGCGCGAGACACGGGTCGGCGAAACGAAATGGGGGAGAGAGCGAGAGAGCGAGTTAGGGAGCTGTCGGTGAGAGACAAAAAGGGAACATAAGGAGAAACCGTGTGTATGTGTCGTTTATACAGGTCGCCCGTAAATTGGCCATGGTTGAGGCCGATCTAGAACGTGCCGAGGAACGTGCCGAGGCCGGAGAGTCGTAAGCATCCGTTTTTCCAAAAGAAAAGAAAGCAAAAATCCGAAACACTCACACCTCCTCCGTCTTGTTTCTGCATTAACGCCTTTTTTTTTGAGATTTCAAGCGTGCGCCAACGACCGCCAAGTTTGTTCTTGCCACCCCACCCCACCCCCCTAATTTCTCGCCACACTTTCTCACGTGAACATGTACAGGCCTGTGTGCACCGATAGGTACCACGAGCATACGCACTGATCGCTGTTCGTTGTTGGTGCCCTTGTCGACGATGACTAACGACGCGTGGCCACGTGTGGAAGTGTCTAACACTCGTTTCCCGGTTTGTTCGTTTCATTGTCGTACTTTCGTTCCTTTCCCCGAGAGAAGTTCCGGTGCTACTGGAACCGAGGAGGTTCCGTTGGCTCGAAAATCGAGTACGATCGGCGACATGGATCGATCGCGTGCCACGATCGAATTGCGTTGCTTTCCAAAGAGAAATCTGAGTCTGCCGAGCAACCCTTTTACGCGTAAGGGGACTCGAGAAGCCGAGAGGAATTTGAGCAGCTCTTTGCGAGAAGGGTGCTTCGCCAAACAGTCTCTTCTTTATCGCAGTTTTGTATCGCGTTGCCGAACTTCGCGATTTCAAGATTTTTTATTCAATTTTCACAGCTAAGACCTTCTTTCGAAATTGCCTTTTTCAAGTTACCATCCTCGCGACTGAGATTTCTCTTTGAATTTACACATCCGAGAGAATGGAATGAAAATGGAGACCCGTTTCGATGCAGAAGCATGGTTGATATTATAGTTTTTACGATTCGTGGAGTAAAATTCGATTCTCTCGGATGAAGAGACTTTTATCAGAGCATTTGACCAAGATTCGAGTCACGATCGAGCAGCAGACCGATGGACCAATGGGGACCGAGGAGGAGCAGGCCGGATGCTGACCCTTTGCATGCGTTTACGACCTAATTTTTATCTTTTTTATTTTACTCGAATTTTCTTTTTTCTTCTGTTCATATTTTTCGTCTTTTTTTTTTTAAACCCTCATCATCCTTGCTTCTTCGCATGACACGTGTGGCTGTTGATCACAGGTCGCCAGAAAACTAGTCATGATGGAGCAGGATCTCGAGCGTGCCGAGGAGAAGGCGGAACTTTCGGAAGGGTAGGTTGTTCAGTTTGTGCATGTCATTGTTCTCTCCCCTCTGTTTCCTTTCTTTCACTTCCGCGAATGGACGCTTGTCTAACATGGACGAACGCTGGTCGACGGTAAATCGGTACAAAATCGCTGTCATCGATACCACTGGAAACGTAGCGCGGCTCTGAACCTGTTGTACAAGGTGTTTCAAATCAGGCCGCCTGATCTGAAGTAAACAACTCGCAATTTTTCTTCAAAAGATCAGCTACTTTGAAACACCACGTGTAAATAAAATTCCGAAAAATTATTCTTAAAAAAGCAACGAAAAATTCTTTAATTAAAGTAACAAAACTGATACTTCTTTGGATACATTCTGTATCAAAAATATAACCTCGAGGCCTGTTGTAAAAGAGAAAATAAAGAAACAGGTTGATATAATCGTGATATGAGACACGAAGAGTGGAAATAAGAGTAGAAAAAGCAACGACCAGCGGTTCGTCCACGCCGAAGAAACACACTGTCAGGTAGGAATCGAGTTTACGATCAGGATTCGTAGTAAACGGTTCGTTCGTTTTGCAGGAAGATCGTCGAGCTCGAGGAGGAACTGCGCGTGGTTGGCAACAACCTGAAGTCCCTCGAGGTCTCCGAGGAGAAGGTAAGTACCGCTAGAACGAGTCACGACAAACATCCACGAAATCTCGAAATATCTGTTTCACTTTCTCTTTCTTTCAAAATCACTGCGCGTTCCAGCCGCGAACTACGATTACATCCGTATTCGATCGCTAACCGTATCTCGTAAATGTCTCTCGCGCGATTAGTATGCGAGATCCGTGCGTGTCGACGACCGTTAGACGTCTGCGCGTGTCGACTGAAATAAATTTTCGAATTTTCGTCCGGGAAATATAAAATCGGACTTGCATTCGCGATATAAAATGGTCGATTCGTCGCGAAACACCGCGTTAACGCGTTGGAAACCCTTCTTTCTTTTCATCCCGTGATGCGGCAAAAGCTTTTGCCTCGGGAGAAAATGACATGCCGCGAAATTTCTCGCGGAAGAAAGAAATCGGCGGGAGAAAAACGCGGTAACAGGAACACGGTGTAATTTTTCACGGTAACGCGGAATGAATTCACGGTTGCACGGGACGCGAATGGTTTTAATGCATCGTTGCGCGCACCTGTTAGGCTAACGCGGAGAGGCAGGACGCGAAAAGAAATAACAAAATGGGAGGGGAGAAAAAGAGATAGAAATCGCGTCGATGGATCGAGAAAAATAAAATATGTCGAATTTGCGCGTGGAGATGCATAATGTTCACGTTACTGTACCATAGGCCAACCAGCGTGAAGAGGAGTACAAGAACCAAATTAAGACTCTTACCTCTCGCCTAAAGGAGGTACCGATCCTTTTTGAGAGTACTTTGCATCCGATCGTTTTCTTTTTTCTACCAAAGTGTGATTTGTCGTCGCGAGTTTATCGCCGTTTCTACTAAACCAATTAACTCGATCACGCTCGCCTTCTTTTCTTCTCATTTACGCTACTTTCTTCTTTCTTAACCTCGACATTCGTTCTCCACTCTCCTGATTTCTTTCATTTTCTTTCACTCTGTATATGTATATATTATATATATTTCTTTTGATTTTGTGAAGCTAACGTGAGGTCATTTTTTTTTCTCTTTTTTTGCGCTTGACTAAAAATAGGCGACGCAAAGAGAGGAGACTTTCGTGGGCCAAGTGAAGATATTGGATAGTCAATTGAAAGAGGTAAGTAAAAGCCAGACCGCAAGTGGAGGATCTTTAAGTACCGCGAATTTGCGAAAAGAGATATCAAGAAATATCGATAGATTTTTTTTTCTTTTTTTCTTTTTTTTTTTCTTTTCTTGTATGAAGTTCTTGTACGAATTTTCGTTTCGTTGTTCGTCGAATTAGCTGAATTTTATTTGCTTCACGTTGTACATATTGTATCCCGTTGTTGCTACTTCTTATCGATTAGATGCTCGTTCTTTTGTACACGTTCCTCTCTTATCTTGCACACCTTTCGATTCACGTATCGATAATTTACATATTACGCATAAGTACGAACGTAAAGAGCAGGTGTCGAGAAATGATCGATCGAGTTCCTGATAAGCAACAAATGGATATCGATACTGCCCAATTTCGAACGAGGTACGAGTGTTTGGGTGTTCGATTGTGGACGAAGCAACAATATATTTAACATTAACAAAATTAAGACAATGTGTGCGATACACTAACGGTTTTTCGCTAAATTCTTCTCGTTGAAAATCAGACTTAAGCATGGAGTGCAGTTTTACTAACAACGAGAACAAATCAAAGTACCACGAATCCGTCGATTTTAAAAAGATATTTTACAAAAGAAGATACGATTTATTACACGTTATTACGTTTATAATATTCATGGATAAATTAGATATACGTATGCGTAATACGTTTGCTTGTAAATTTTGCACAATGCATGGAAGCCAGTTGTCCAAGTAGCGGAAGAAATTTTAAAATCGACGACAAATCACGTGAAAGTGACTTGGCGGAAATACTCATCCGTTCTTCCTGTTCCTATAGGCTGAAGCCCGTGCCGAGTTCGCAGAAAGATCCGTGCAGAAGTTGCAGAAGGAGGTCGACAGGCTCGAAGGTGCGTATTTGTCAGGCATTGTCGCTCGTTTCGTCGATGTCATCGTTTGCAATTTTCATTTTCGAGACTTTTGCTTTTCTCGAACGGCCATTGACAATCTTCCTCGGGCACTTACGAGTAGCTTAGGAACGGCCAGTTCGTATTTATTCCTTTGATACCGCAGTTGATTTACTTTCTAGCGAGTTAGAGATATTACGTTCCTCGATCGAGTAGGAAAAAGAGAGAGAGGGAGAGAGAGAGAGAGAGAGAACTGCAAATCGAACGTTTAAAGTCGATGGGAGCAGAATAAGGGAAGTAAGCTCGCATTCGAACGTGTTACAGTTGCGATAACCTGCTAGGGACTCATTAACGACCATAACATCTCTTTCCAAATTGACCAAGCACCCGAGTTTGTTTGAGTGCATCCAGTGATTAATAGAACCGCAGACGACAGTCATTTTGGAGTACTGGATCTGTCAAGAACAATTACAATTGGAGAAATAACTTCCTGCAGAAGCAAAACCTTATTAAAATAATAATAATAATAATAATAACAAAATGAAGGATAAAATCTGCGATTTATTGGGAAAACGTGTGTTCAATTTGGTATTATAAAATTTAGTATTCGTAAAAGAAAGAGATCCATCGACGACCTGTCGAAACACGTGATCCAGCAGCTCGCTCGATCGATTCCCCCCGAGAGTCTACGAAACAATCATGGCTGTCGTTTGCCGGAGAAAAAGCATCGCGTGTTTGCCGATTTTAACGCCAACGGCGACGTTGATGGTCGCATCGTCGCGTGTGCCGTGTGCATTTGCTCGATGATCATCGTGTTCCTTTCTAACCCCCGCAACCCCGAGAGCGCATTTCCGCGATCGAGCGAATCGTTGTGCGCACGCCCGTGTGCCTGTATGCGTGTGCAGCCTCCCTCTAACCGGTGATCTTTCCAGACGACCTTGCCGCCGAGAGAGAAAAAAACAAATTGCTCCAGGAGGAGATGGAGGCCACCCTGCATGACATCCAGAACATGTAGATCGTGTCTCGCGGCCGACAGAAACACGAGAGAAAACGAGAAAAGATATAACGAAAAACAGAGATGTTGAAACAAAAGCATACGCAGAGATAGTAGGGTACGATTCCTTCGGGGATTAAAAGGAACAAACAGAGAGGGGAAAAAGCAAACTAAATAAACAAACAAACGCATAGAACACGGATTCGAAAGGGGGTGAGGGACACGGAGGACAAACGTACGTCGATTGTTAGGGGGTCGGGGTGGGGGGTGGAAAATGGAAAACTATCGTTGAAAACATGATATACGCTGTGCGACGCGAGCGCTTTTGTGTGTGGTGCACACTATTAACGTTTACCGAACGAGAAAAGATACAAGAAAATCCGCAAAAAAAAAAAACTCATGCAGTCTCTATTAGGCTAGACTCACGCATCTCCCATTGTAACGCCCATCTCAGCAGGCGCCCCGGTTGCGCACTTCTTTTTCGTCTGTACGCCCGTGTACGCGTGTGTGTGATTCGTGCATGTGTGTGTTTGCTGCTGTTGCTGTCGCTACCGTTGCGTGTGTACGTGTGCGTGTGTTGCGCGCGCGAGAAATCCAGGGAGACTAGACGACATTTTTAGGTAGGGAAAAGAAGAAACGACGATTCGAGTATAAAGTGCAAAGTATAAAGAGGAGGTAGGGTGTGCGGTTTGTCAAAGGGACACCAAGTTTTGCTTCCCTTTGCCTTACCGTTTCTTTTCCTTTCGAGTTTTTCTTCTGTCTACCCGACCGAGTTGATTTCTCCATTTTTTTTTTTCTTTCTTCTTTGTTTCCTTTCTTTTCTTTTTCTTTGTTCCCCCTTCCATTAACGCTGTGTTTCGCCCCTGCTCGAATTAGCGAGATTAACATCGCCGTGTTCGACCGAGTGCTTTTTAATCGCCACTCCGAAGCAGTGTGAACAAACGACCAGCGTTACGGAGGATGATGAGAGGAGATAGGAAACAGAGAGTAAAAGAGAGTCGATCGAAGCGTGTACGTCGAGGAAGAATTTTCAATCGAGTCTGTCAAGTATTTTCTACCGGTCTCGACCCGCGATCGCGTGTCGTGGTCTCGGGCAAAATTCGATCCTCTGCGGTTCATATCCGGCCCAATTCGATTGCCAACCGATCGCGTGTAGCGTTCGACAGACGTCGCGTGATCTATATCGTCCTGCATCTCGGAATAACGTATTTTCCTCGAAATACCAATCTTCCGTGTCGCTGTGATTTTCTTTCCAAATTCCTAGTGGTCATGGTGGTTATCTAGCGATCATAGTCTTACGGAAAATGTAACTTTTGCGACAATCCGTGTGAAAAATTCTTACAGACGTATTGGAACGTTGCTGTAAAGAATGTTTGATCGATTCGAGCTAGGAAAACGAGGAAATTTCTCCTCGACGTAGAATCGCGTTGTGAGATGGTCAACTGGGAAAGGGACGAGCAAGCATCGCTCGTTGCTTTTCGTCGTTTACATTCCATATTCCCCGGGGTTCAGCGTGAACAAGAAACGTTCCTGGCCTTCCATGCTCGTTCGCTCACTGGTGATAATCTTAAACGCTTCTAAGAAACGCTCACTGCCAGCCAGGTGACCCCTTCGAGGAACAAATCCAAGATTATACTCGTATTCGTACATGACCTAGCTGAGAAAAGGATAAAGTTAACGTAATTAAAACTTAGAGCTTAACGAGGTAAACGCGGTAATGAATAGGATGATATATCTAATAGAGCGCAGTTTAATATATAACGCAATGTTTGTATATTTATAATCTAATTCGTATATACGACACGATGGTCCAATTGAAAGAGGAGATTCTCTATAAATAAATACTTAAGGTAGAGCCCTATATATAAAACCCTTGGCGAATTCTTCGAAGAATTTCTATTTGTTCTATTCGAGTTTAATTGTTCGAGAAGAATTGCCTTCTTCGATTTCCCACCACGCGTTTTCGAGTACCGATCATGTAGCAATGAGAAATCGTCTAGGAAAGCGAGATTCCAGTTATATAAATCGGATAATCTCGGGAATCTTCCTCGTGAGAAAGGGCGAACTTGCACTTTAATTAACGCAGCAATTGTTAGCGAGGAAAATACGAGCAACACGAAAATCGCGTGCGTTCTTCTCGTTCACGCTGAGCCGCTCGATGTTTACCGATCGTGCCTGGATTCACCTGTTATATTAACGATCGTTGCCTGGCCAATCGCGAACTTCGATTCACAAAAGCAAAACGGAAAGAGAAAGAAAGAAGAGGAAAGGAAAGAGACATAGGGACGAGAGAATTTCCATTTCGCATAACTTCACCTTGCAATCGTTCATCGCCGCTGTTAATTAATACCGTTGCTACATACATATTAGGACCGCCTTGGTCTAAAGGCGAGTCGGTAACTCCGCGTGAAACTTTTCTTCTCTTTGTCATCGCGAAAGAAAAAGACAGAAAGATACTGCCTGATCATCTACGTATTTAATCCCTTTGGTGATTCTCGTTATAGTTTCTCCGTGAGTCTCGAAGTCTCCTCGAGTGTCTTGTCGAGATGGGTTTAGAAAGTTCGAATTTTTCGCGCGTATTCCAGGAATATCCCGTGCAATAGTCGTAGATTTTATACAGCTCGATCGAGGTACCACGATCGTCGTGGTACCATTTCGTAGCGTTACTTGCATTCACCGAGGTTCATTGGGACGTTTCAATTGCAACAGTGTCCGTTTCAGTTCCGAAATCTCGAAAAGACACGCGAAGAGAGTATATTACGCGTCTTGCGACCGAAAACGTCACGTTTACTTCATAGAGAGAGAATGAGAGAGAGAGCGAGAGAGGTAATGAGCGTGTGCGTGTGTGAGATAGAGTAAGCATGATTAAGAAGAAACGAAGAAAGCACAATAATTACGATTCCACGCGTCCTACCGTTAATGATAATGAAATTTTTTTGTTATTCCCGTTTTTTTTTTCCCGATAATATGCCGACAGTATGAAAGAGCGCGAGATGGAGTTGAAAGAGAGAGAGAGAGAGAGAGAGAGAGAGAGAATAAGTGCATAAAAAGGAAACGCAGATACTTGAGTTCACACTTGAGAGTTTTAGTTTATTAATTTACTTAATATTAATAAAAAAAACGAATGGAATGATAATAACACTAATATCATTGTAATGATAATGATTATTATATATATTGCTATTATTATAAAACTGTTTGTAATATATATTTTAATTTTGAAAAAACAGCGTGTCGTTTGTTTTTGTTGCCACGTGTGTATGAGTGAACTCGTTTTTCTTTTCACTTATAATTGTTCTCTATTCCCCCCCCCC